AGGTTTAAATTTGGATTTAAAGCTTTCGTGACGGCAGTAATTCATATTCTTAGTTCTTTCGGTAAAGTCACGTTGAAAGGAAACAACAAAATAATAAAATATATATAAAACAATAAAAATTCTCACGACGTTTCGACCATAACACAAACGGTCGTCTTCAGGTGTGTTGGTTTGCATAAATTTATTTTAAAACGGCGCATTTATTTAGTTATTTAAAAAATGCTAGCGCCACGCGCAGCGATTTGGCAGTTTATTTAGGACTAGTCCATCTATATTCTGAAAAGAGGAGGGGGGAGACGATTTTTTTTATATATATAATGTATGCTGTCTGAAAGCCACTGTAAGCGTGAACAATCAATTAAGACCTGAAATGGTTTATCAAATCTTTCCAATGATTGCTAAGATAGAATCCGAGAAGATGGATTCTGTCTTAGCAATCATTGGAAAGATTTGATAAACCATTTCAGGTCTTAATTGATTGTTCACGCTTACAGTGGCTTTCAGACAGCATACATTATAAAAAAAAATTCGTCTCCCCCCTCCTCTTTTCAGAATATAGATGGACTAGTCCTAAATAAACTGCCAAATCGCTGCGCATGGCGATAACGTTTTTTTTATAAATAAATAAATGCACCGTTTAAAAATAAATTTATGCAAACCAACACACCTGAAGACGACCGTTTGTGTTATGGTCGAAACGTCGTGAGAATTTTTATTGTTTTATATATATTTTATTATTTTGTTGTTTCCCTTCAACGTGACTTTACCGAAAGAACTAAGAATAAAAATTAGGTTTGCGAATTGAAAATGTTCACGTGTGCGCAAAGCTGCTACCAGCATTATCTATCGCAACAATTTGTGGAGGCAATTGAATATTAATTTTTTTAAGTGAAAGCCATTAATTAGGGGAAATTGAAGACCCCTAGATCTTTGATGGACTTGTGCATGTGGAGACAACACGGCACCACATTATCAGATTCCAGCAGAGGCTGTCAGAACCTCTGCGTGGGCCAGACAAACAAAACAGACCTGTCATTAACCGCACACTTCACAGGCATCCAAATCAACGTTGATGGAGTCTTGGTGAGAGAGAGAGACCAATGGGACATCGTGTCTTCAGAGCCACCCAGGATCTGTTCAAGGGCATCCGCCGATTGAGTTGAACCTCCGAATCAGAGTATTTATCCTGCAGAAATCCGATGAGCTGTGAAGCTCTTTTTCACATATGTCCAGTAGGGATGGGTCAGACAGTTATAACAACAAACAATTCATTAAAAAAACGATAACGGTGATAGGTATAGGAAAGGTTAACAAATCACAGAAAACTGCCCTTCCCCCCCCCAGGTTACGGATGTTTGTTGAACTTTCACACCGTACGTTGCCATATGGTTATTTTTCAAAAGCGACCTGGCCGCAAATATCTCGACGAAGTGGCTCATCACGTGGAAATTCACAGCACCCAAATACTCTAAGCGCGTGATGTTGATTCCAAATGCGGGGGATGGGGGGGGGGGTGAACTCGGAGGACCCGGAGAACCTGGAAGGCCTAGCTGCGCCGTAACTCCCCGACTACTCGCCTGGGTGCACCGAGATAACACGTGTTATGTAAATATATAAAACGTGTGTAATATATATGACTCCTTTGGTCCGCACATCTTCAGAAACCCGCAACTTCCTGACAATTGCAGCAACATTTTTATATCCAAACGGCAGTTGAACACATCGGTGATGCTGTATAAGGAGAAGCAGGAGGGACAATGAATTATTATCAAAGTGAGAAAGTTAGCCAGGAAGTGAGGGCGTTTTCTTTTGTGACATTGATAAAAGGCTTCACGAAGTAGGAATTTAAGTCTTTTTTTTTTAAACTACAGTGCAGCAGACACAGGGATAGCATTCAGGCCGAGCGAATCTGACTGTCGTAGGCACAGGAAAAAAAATAAACATCTACGTATGGACTATCAGAGGAGTGATTTCTTCATGTTTTGGTGGGCAGGGAGAAGGGGTTCTTGACCCTCGACGCAGCAGAGGAGAGGGAGCGACCGCCCGTTTTCAGCAGAGTTTGACTGGATATGTGAACGGTGTTTTTTCCGCTGAGGCAGAGAACAAATTGTGAGGCGGTGTGCGAGATGAGAATGGGTCGGTTGGAGTGAGCCCGACGGAAGATCCTAACGGCATCACCGTTTGGGACAGCTCCTTAACCACATAGGACAGATTTCGATTTAAAGCTTTCGTAACCACATAGGATAAGTGAGACTCCAGTTGCTGGTGTTGAAGAGAAAAAGCCAACTTCTGTGTCAAGAGTGCCAATCATAGCACCACCAGTTTGCATTTTCTCTTCATGAATGTTTTTACCGTAACTATCAATCATGGCTCGCAACAGGGAAGGCCCGTCAGGGTGCTGGATAAATGCCATTTTTAAATCCCGCATCTGTCGAATTTAAAAGTTCAGCGTTTTAATGTGCTGCGCATTGCTTAGCCGGCTTTAAATTATAAATTAAATATCACATTGCCAGACAGTGTTGGAGAGACTCACGTTGCAAGTAATACATTATCAATAAATAACCCAAAACTTCATCATATGACTCCCAAAATGCACAATACGAAATTGCGTTACTTCTATCGATCAGATACTGATGGATTAAAGTTCAAGCGTAACCTTCCTATCCATGATTGAGGTTTTTTTGGTTCGATCGCGTGAATATGAATGTGTCGTTAAACCTGCCACCACCCGACACAGCCAATTAGTAAAGTTTGTCACGTTAACAGAACATGCCAATTCGTTACTAGTACAGCACACTGGTGTGTTGGAGAGCAAATCCACAACTTTTACAATCTGAGTGTGACGTTTTGCCAGTTATCACAACTAGCATCAGCAGGCGGACAGACAGATTTGTGGAGAAATCCTCCTGTTTCGTTCCTTATTTAGAGGGATAGATGTGATGACGTCACTTGTGAGCCCTTAACGTATGAAGATGGGGGGGGGGGGATTAATGATGCATATGAATTACAATGGGTATCTATTGCCGGTTTGGGTTATTTATATGGTAATCAACGTACATTATGCATGCACATTGCTCTTGTACCTCCTGTTGTTTGTGTGCACTAAAATAGCAGTACCTGTTCTTGTCTGCGTAATCCCCATTGACATATGGTAGGTAACCTGTATAGGCATGCATTTAAACAATGTATTATGCAGTCACACCATCACCCCACACAGAAATCCTCTCATCCAGACGCTCATAAATCAGACTAAGAAAGCGTTGGATGGTGATGGTCTGTGAAGTGACATTAAACATGTTAAAGCAACACTGCAATTGAACGGTTACAATTATGCACAAATCAACAGGACAAAACCCAAATCAAATAACACAATAGTTGAAACTGACAAAGTACTTAAAACCATTAAAATTCCGTACATAGCAGAAGTAACATAAACTTGCCAGATTTGTGGAGAAATCCTCCTGTTTCGATCCATAAATAGAAGGATAGATGTAATGACGGCACTGGTGAGCCCTTCACTTGCGAAGGCTGTTGCGTCACTGGGAGTGGACAGCGCCGTGCAGAGTGGTTGGCCTCATGGCCCTTTGAGATGCAATGCAGGTCTCAAAATGCACAATGGGAACATCGTGAAAACAAAATCGCTCTTATTTACGGAGATGTTCGAGATGTTCACGTACTTTCCACGTGAATATATTGTTTGAGTTTCAGAAGACCCAACTCTGGCATACTTTCTGCAATTAGTAAATGGCCATGCTGTGCCTTTGTGAGAAGTCGTTTTTGCTTCGCCGAGATGAATTTCGCTGGCAAGCTGCTTTGCAAGCTGCACAGGGAGTCAAATAAGTCGCGTGCGTCGACTCCTGTGCATAAGAATGAATCTGTTTCAATTCGTGTGCTTATGGTAATGAGCTAACATGACTCCCGCAGCCCGTGGCCACTGCAACCACCACCGTGTTACAAAGAAATACATTTTTGAATTTCAAACGCTTCCGTGAATCTGTATATTCATCAAGTCATCGAGGGGATGGATGGATTGTCTTACCCAGGGGATCGAGTTGAGCTTTCGATTTTCTTGGGACTGAGGTTCAGAAAATATTTCAACAGTGGGGAAGTGGGAGAGGGGAGGATGGAGTGCATGGTTTTGAGGGGGCCCCAAAAAATATTCCAGGAGAAATGAAGCCCTGTGGTTATACCCCCTTGTGAGAATGCAGCTTTCACACTTTCAAGTGAGCCATTCCCCGACAGCAGAACCATTGTTTACTTTCGCCAGAACACAGTAGGTACCGATCAATAATCCTGGAGGGATGGCAGGCCGAGCAGAACCTCTATTGAGATTTAATAACCTGCCAATTACGAGCCGAGCGCTTTGAAATCGATAGCGGATTCATTAATAAGAGGCGCGCCCAAGCTTTTTATTTGAGCTTTATTTACAATTCAATTCAATGTCAACTTGTGTGACACCTAAATCCCACTGCAACTCAAGACACTTTCATGAAACTTGGCTTGAAACCATAGTACAGTCAGAGTAAAATCAACAGTTGTAATCTGGAAAAAAAGTCAAAAGTTTCTCTCCCTATTCAAATGAGCTCGGCGTGCGCCCCACATCCCGGAGGGCATGACCTCGTGGTGTAAATTCCACATTTTCATTGTGGTGGCAGTCGGCCACTGCACACGTGAAGCTGTTGACTTCCAACACCGCAGTACCCATTAATAAAAAGCCGAAGGTGAACTTGTGTTTACCTCCGGCCAGGATATCGAACCGATTATTATGACCCCAGTTGCTGAGACCATGCAGCTTGATCGAGTATTGACGTAAAAATAGTTGACGACGCCGATGATTGTGATGACGACAATGATTGTGATGATGACGATGATTGTGATGACGACAATGCTTATGACGATGATTATGATGGTGGTGGTTGGGGATTGTTAACGACCCTCCCTCTGCCCTCTGTCAGCTGTTTGGTCGTGTCTCGCCGTTGTGTCCCCCCCTTCCTCCGTAGATTTTCGTCGCGGCGTTTTCCATCTACACGGGCGCGGCTTCGCGCCTCATCTACGGCTACGACAGCTACGGCAATCTGTGCGGAACCAAAAACACCCCGATCCAGAACTTCCCCATGTCCGGCCAGGACATGCGGGAAAAACCGTAAGTGAATGTTGTTGTAAAAAATAATGCATAATATAAAAATCACACAGAGAAATGGTTCATTTTTAGTGGTTTAAAAAATATATATTACTTAATTTTTTGTAGCTGATGACATTTTTTACAAACACTCCGTCTCTGTGGGGCATCTTTAAATCATTCAACTGCAGGCTATTATAAATAACTCCCTGAAAGCAAAATGGAATGAATGTGCATTTGCACGTCGTGTACAGGAATACTAATGCTTCGCGTACAGATGCACATCCTGAATTATTTTTAAAGTGTGCTAGATCATTAAAGGTTAGGAACATATTGTATTGCAGCGCGTGAACTTTCATTTTCAGATTTAATCGGGCACACAAACCCTGAATGCTATATTCAACCGTGGCGCTAATTTTTACATTTACGGAAGAGTTTTGTTGATTAAAAAAATGAGAAAGTCTCAGCTGGAGTTTTTATGTGTGTGTACTAGCGTAGTCAACTCATGGCACCTGGGTCTGTCCTGTGACCTGTCAGCGGGCGTTGAGCACTTCACGTGGCCTTAAAGTGCAAATAGCCTGCCACAAGCGCCGTGGTGACGTCAACGCCACTTATTGGCGAATGGCGGTTGTTGTTTAATGCGGTGTAGCGGTTAGCATGCTCTATTACGAACCTTACGACTTGAGATCGATTCCTGCTCACAGCCAACACCAGCAACAATTATCTGAACCGGTCCTGGGCCTCCCCTAGGTCGACTCAGTCTCAAATGAGTCCCTGGTGCGATGTGTAAACATCGCCACTCGGAGACAAAGGCGGCCGGGCGTGGTGTTGGCCACCCACCCCTTCGTGTGCCGTGCCGGCCTTTATAGGTGCTCGCTAACAGCACTTGCTCCCACAGTCTGTTAAGGCTACACGGGGGATCTTTTTTGGTGAGTGTTATATCGTCTTCTGCAGAGTGTGGCCTGTGAAATAAAAGATGTTTGGATTGTCTGACTTTACAAGTGAGAAGTCGTCCCGGGACAATGTGGGGCCCCAAAATTGCGCTGTAGCAGAGCATATTAAAATGCTCATTAAGTATACAAAATTTGGCAGGCTTACAGGTAACAAAATATAAACAAAAAATCTTAAATACGTTAGTGCTTTGTTGGAGTTGAAACAAACTTTTCCATCGGTTTGTTATCTGTCCATACGTGATGAAGGTAACACCGGGGGGAAGAGCGAATTAATCTCAACAGGATGTTATTAGTTAGAGGTTGACATGACCCAAAAAACCAGTTGGGTACTTTTTCTCTTTAATATCAAAGCAACATCATTTCACGGCAATTCGACAGGTGAGATTAATTTCAATATAATCGCTCATTTCACCTCCAAAAAAATCTCAGCTCCTCATTCCAAGATGAATTGCCACCACCAATGTGGTGTTTTTTTACCACTACTCCCATTCCACGCACTGGTGGACTCCCTGTAGACTCACGTGGAGCAGGTCCCACAATGCACCGCACGGTGTAGGAGTCGCTCTCCCACCTTACGAGTGGATTTATTATCGATTGTTGCGTTTGGGCACGTCATGATCTGGCCAAATTTGTGTCAAAAGACCCTCCCACCACCCGACAGCTAAACAGAGGAAATTGTCACGTGTACAATAAAGGACACCACGGTGTATATGAGATGTTAACTACCTCGCCTGTTATACAGGAGGTCGTGGGTTCAATCCCGATCCTGATGCCTGTATATTTTTTTAAGTTTGAATGTTCTCCCAGTCGTCTCGTGGATTTCTTAAGGGTCTTCCTGTTTTTCCCTCCATATTTTGAATCAACGTGCGTTTAGAGTATTTGGCTGCTATAAATTTCACCATCATGAGCCACTTCGTTTAACTATAATTTGTGATAGCCATATCACTTCTGAAAAAGCTATATAGCTCAGTGGGCATTACCTGGTAAAATAAAAACAGGGTAATAGTTTTTAATAGTTTTAGATTTTGATGTACCGATGGTTCAGCTCGCCAATTAAATTGAAGAATGATTGTCATAACCAAATGTATTAAATAGATATGATGCTTCGCTTGAAACTGCATCAAGCATATTCAGGAAAATGCAGGGAGCTCGAATTAAATAAGGAAGTCAGAATAACTTTCACCTGACCCAACTTCTTAAATATATGTCACGACATCATAGCAACCACTAAATAGATTTAAACTAGATATTAGCCACTACTAAATAATTAATTGCAATTTATTAACATTTATCTGGGCCAGTGACGATTTTTTTTTACAATTTGTTCTAACCTTATATGAATGATTCATTATAACTACTCGTGAATCCATTAGCCTGTTACAGTTGTGGGGACTCTAAAGTGAGACGGAGTTGGCGTGGCTGTGGGTGAGCGTCGTGGTTGTGGGCGAGTGTCGTGGCTGTGAGATCAGCGTCGAGGCTGTGAGGTCAGCGTCGTGGTTGTAAGAGTCGTGGCTGTGAGGTCGGCGTCGTGGTTGTGAGTAAGTGTCGTGGTTGTGGGTCAGCGTCGAGGCTGTGAGGTCAGCGTCGAGGCTGTGACACATCCTCGGTATCCCGACTACAAATAAATGTATTTTGTGCGGTGCATCTGCCTTGACCTGGTGAAACAAAGGGCCCCGAGGTGAGCGTTTGGCCGGCGTGCATTGCAGGTTCGTATTCTTCCTGGATGCGTGCAACCTGGACCCAGTGAAGCTCAAGTTCCGCTCCATGTCGCTGTGCGTATCCCAGTGCCCCGAGCGGCAGCTCTCCACCATGCAGGACGTGCGACACTTTGCCGACAACAACAGTGAGTCCCTCGCGCCATTGGCTGCATCGATCGCCTTGTCACATGGTTCCTCCTTTCCGGCAGTCCGGGACTGGCCGGAGGGCAGCAGTCCGTAGGGAAAATTCCTGGGTGGGGGCCCCGGTCCATTCCGAGGGCCAGTGGGCGAGTCTGTGTAGTGAAATATCAAATGTGATTAGAGTAAAAGAATATATATCTTTTTCTTTTATCACCTCGAGTGCGTTACGCTTCATTGTTCATTTACGCCCCTCCATTTGTGTTTTTGTGACCCGGCCCAAATGGGCCAATAGGATCGCACGGCAAAATCGCGCTCGTACGTCGCATCACAAATCTAACTAAATATACAGTGTGTCGCACAACCCATTTAAAAAAAAAAGATTTCCAATAGCCCAAATTTTGTGCCGGGGTGTTTACAAATGCCTGGGCCGATTTTTAGTCCCAGTCCGTCACTGCTTTCCGGTACGTGCGGCAGCGGTGGTGGCGTTGCACGTGGCCTGTAATGCAGCACCGTGGAGGCAGCGAGGATTGTTGGTTCGCTAACATGTTGCGAAGGCCTCCTTGCGGTGGGTGTCGAGGTGCCATACCCTGGCTTGCCAGGAGAAGGCAAAGTGGGGGACTAATATAATCTGTTCCATATTTGTGGGGTCGTGTTGCCCCTTTTGCACACTTGCGTTTTTCTCCGGATGAAAACATCTTAATATATAGAGGACTGCAGAGCTCGGGAAATTGTTGGCGCCGGCTTATCACCCGGCTGTCTTCCAAGCCTGTCTCTGGTTCTTCCAATGAGCCGTTCCGGAGCAGCCCCGAGCCAGCCCTGTGCCGCTTTTCCACTGCAGAATCCGAGCCGTGCCGCTGACGTGACGCGCGACGAACGTGTGGCATCGGCGTCACACGTCAAGGTTTCCTGCTTGGAACCCGAGCCAGAGTCAGGTTTCCATGCGAGGCCAGAGTTTAACGGATTGGTTCTGGCTCGGCTCTGCAAAGGAGCCAGTGGAAAACCGCACGTACCGTGAGTGTCCTGCACTCGCCTGGCTCGGGTGTGCCAGTGGAAAAAATGGTTCCATGATTGCTGGTTGTATTGTCTAGCCTGGACTGGCTATTTGTTAATTAAAGGTTTCTGCTAATGTAGCCACCGCTGCCGATAACAGTCTGTTATTTTCGTGGTGTTCGGGCTCAAATTTGCGGTGGTGAGGTCATGGGTTCAATCACCACCCTGACGCCTGTTGTATATTTGGAGTTTGCGTGTTCCCGCCGAGTCTTCCGTTTTTTCCCTCCGCATTTAGAATCGACACGCGTTTCCAGTATTTGGCTGCTATAAATTTCCACGTGATGAGCCTCTTCGTTGAGCTATCATTTGTGATGTGCCAGGTCGCGTCTGAAAAATAGCTGTATAGCTCGGTGGGCCTTACCTGGAAAAAATAAAAAAATAGTAAAAAATGAAATAGTTTCAACTTGCTTAAATTTTAAGATGTGAGCTCGGTGACAGGAGGGCAATGGCGTAAGAGGCCATCGAAGGTCTTGGCAGCACCAGTCTGAGTTCTCGATCTAGGTATGGTCTGCAGGCAATCGGAGGTTCGCCTCGGGTTTCTGGGATTTTTTTTTTCACGGGTGGAGAATGGCCGGTTTAAATCCTGAGCTGATTTTGATTTAAGAGCTTCGTAGATGAAGACCGCCCAGTGAAGGTCTCTACGTAACTGAAGCGAGCTGGGATTAGCTTCGTAGAGTAAAGCTCACGGTGATGAGTTCTCAAGGGGCCATCTAAGGTGATCCTTGGAGCTGAATGATGAAGAGGATTTTAGTTGAAATTCTGGCTGGGAGTTGACTGAGCCTATCAACCCTCTCCGGTGGGAACGGCGGGGTCAATAACTCAAGTACCACATTGTGAGAAGACTCGGCCCCTGCCAAAGTAATGTGGAATTTCTACCACTGGCTCAGGGCTGTAAACATGAGATGAGCAATGCTTAGATTGAAAACTAATTTCTTTAGAACTGATTATTGTGTTGGGTTTCTTGTCCCCCCCGCACCTCCGATGACCACGGTTGGCTTACGTACGGTGCGGAAGAAGTTCAATGTACACACACACACGTACACACAGTGTCGATGCGAGGAAGCAGAGGGAGGAGTGGCTCTTGAGCAACTTCTAAATTTGAACAGAGATTGGCTGCTACACATTAAAAATAACACATCGAGAGAGTGGGGTGGAGTCCCAGAAAACGTAATGTATTTTCAACATACAGTACATGCATTCACTTTGAGAATGAAATCACTTTGACTTTAGACTTTTGAATGGTTTTAAAAGTAGGTGCAAAGATGACAATTTCCCTCCGTTCACACGCACGCACGCACGCCGTGACCCATTATGGGCACGACACACGCAGTGCGACATTACGGCGCGGCAGAAAGGGGCTCATGGGGCTGTCATGACATTTTGTTGAACAAGAATCATTAATAATGGCACTTCACTGAACGGACGGAGAGATCTCAGAAATTAACCTCGCGCCTAAATGCGTGTGATATAACTGTTTGGGATTATATACATGTGTTTTGTCAGTCCGTGTTTAGAGTTTGACAAAAAGTGGTATATCCATTATTTTTTTTTTGGCTTGCACCAAGTCATCCCTCTGTCGTATGCATGTTTGTTCAACTCCTTTTGCACTGTACGTAGCCAACCGTGCTAATTGCAGGACCACAAACTAAACACAATAAAAGCAGTTCTCGAGAAATTAGTTTTAAAATTGCATCGCTTCAGTGGCTTCTTAATATCCAGACGGGCTGCAGACGCGCGCATGAAAGCGCGCGATGCGGTGACCGTCTTTGTTAGCCAAAAGCCGCCGCTACGAGGATAAACCGGAGTTCTAGTGATGGTTTATGCTTCTTGACGAGACCAGCAAGGTATTGTTACTTGCCATAGGTCAAAGCAACTCGAAGGCAAACGCAGTGTGGAAGTGTCTGATTACTCAATGCAGTCGGTGGACCGAGACGGCCTTTTTTGTATTTGACGGGGAAAGTTTTAAGACGGTATTCGGGGGTTGTGCGTGTCTCGCTTTCTGTTTGCGAGCGACTGTCTTCCGAAGGCCATGAGCCACAAGGGCAATTTTTAGGGGCAATGGTTGCCGGCAACCAAAAGGCACGATAACCACGAGGGACTGTTGCAAGTTGGCGGCAACGAGCCAACTGGTCGTTCAGTCATTGCGTTGTTGCCAGTCACTCGGCAAATAATTTGCTTCCCTAAGAAGAAATCTGTAGAGTCGTAAACGTGTGGCAATGATTACTGGTCACTGCCGGCCCTAAAATTGGCCCAAATGGATAAAACTATAAACTGTAAACTATTGTTTATTTTACCAGGTAAAGCCCACTGAGCTGTATAGTTATTTTTTAGAAGCAACCTGGCCACAAATGATAGCTGAACGACGTGGCTTATCACGTGTGGAAATTTATAGCATCCAAATGAATATGGAGGGAAAAACCGGTGGAACCGGAGAAAAATCCACGCAACCACGGCGAAATAGACACGCAAACTCCAAATATACAGGCGTCAGGGTCGGGATCGAATCCGCGACCTCCTGTATACCATGCGAGGTAGTTAACATCTCATCCATCCTGGTGCCCCAAAATCACGGCCCTTGCTATGAAGCCTCCACGCTCCCACTTGCAGTCCCATTGTAAAACATTGCAGCGTAGTATCCATCCACAGTGCTACACATATCTCAAGAATAGCAAACACATTGTTGAACAAATGTTTTGTAAAAACATCAGAATCAGAATCTTTATTGATCCCGGAGAAATTCGATTAGCTATAAAGCCCTTTTTTATTTTTACAGTTTCAGTTTTCATTTTTATGTATTAGGTATAGCCCTGTGAGCCATGCGGCTCTTGACTCGGGTGCAACCGCAACAAACAAAAACATGAACAAAGAACATCTTAAAGTGACTACGTGCAACAGAAAAATCCAGGAAAAAACATCAAAGTCTTCCAGAAAAAAAGCACCGTACATCAACGCTGTGTGCAAAAATCCCAGTGGGATGCAAGTCAAAAATAACAACCGTAAGACAACACAGATGTCCAGTCGGGGCTGGTCAGAAAGTTACAGCAACAAACAAAGCACAAACACCATTGGAGTGCAAATCATAGGAAAGGAAAGCAAGTCACTACGAATACATGCATAAAATAGATAAAGTGTGAAAGTTTGTAGATGTAGACATTTCAACGGCGTGTGTGTCCACTGCAGACCCGCGGACTCGCTGTGCTTGCACCAGCACCGCATGCATTGGGCATGAGTTGGACGGATACTCTCGTGAGTAGTGCAGTATCTTTAGTGGTCTAGCACAGGGGTCGGCGACCTCCGACTCTGGCGTTGCGTGCGGCTCTCTTTTAGGACTCCATTGCTTCTCTCCCCCCCCCCCCCCCACTGGCTCAGCCAGTGAACATGGCAGTCCAGTTAACCATGGAATTCCAGTTCACCATGGAAGTCCAGTTTACCATAGAATTCCAGTTTACCATGGAATCCCAGTTCACCATGGAATCCCAGTTCACCATGGCAGTCCAGTTCACCATAGGAGTCCAGTTTACCATGGAATTGCAGTTCACCATGGAATTCCAGTTCACCATGGCAGTCCACGTCACCATGGAAGTCCAGTTCACCATGGCAGTCCAGTTCACCATGGAAGTCCAATTTACCATGGGCAGGGTGGTCGGCAACCTCCGTCTCTTGGAGTCGCGTGCGTCTCTTGAAAGACAGCCTCGTGACGTTATTTATTATGGACCACGCCGTCTCGTAATCACCGGAGTGCATTGCGGCTCTTGAAATATCAAGGGGTTTCTTTGTTTGTTATCGTATTCGAAAAAAAATGTCTCGTTGTTTTCGTTGCTGATCCCCGATCTAGCATCGGCTCATGTTACATTGCATTAAACGAAAAAAGTCGTTTTCTTTATTGAGTTAACATTTGTGGATGTGCTCTTGCCCTCCTCCACTGCTAGCCCTCCCTTCGCCGGCATCTTTGTCGGATGGAAAGAATCGTCGTTTGTCTTGAGTCGCGCTATTTTTATCGTGCACAGAGGCCCACGGCCCGTGCCCACGGGCGGTCTGGCTCTCGAAGCCGTGTTATTCTGCATCCATCAGTAGCCGCGAGATTAGTGGTGGGGGGGGTCCCTTTTTGAAGCTGGGGACTGATCAAAAGCTTTGTTGTTTTTCCTGCCTCAGCGTTGGGACATGATTTGGCTGATTTAGCCCAATCGCGACTGTCTCTCATCGGCAGAGGGGAAAGACATGACCGCCCGATTGTGATCCTGGCGGTATTCATTTAATCACCGCTCAAGCATCAGTCGGCTATGAGTTCTGTTTGACCCCCAGGGTCTTGTTAGAGGCCTCACAGGCAGGTTTCCTGGCTCCCAACTGCAGGACCCCCTTGACTGTTTAAGAATAAAAATGAAATTCAAATCAAAAGCACATAATTATTCCGTTAATGCCCCAAGTGATGCACGGCATTGCGAGTGGATGTTATCTTGATTGTTTACAAAAATGGAAGCGAAAGCGGCGTTGGCACGTGATGCAACGGAGTCGTAACGCGAGCGTTAAGAACACCCTTCAGCTGGCCAATTCTGTGCTTAAGGTGGCGTGTGTGTTGAAAGTGTTTTTTTTCTCGCGTGTGATTTATTATTCGCAGGTTCTAGCCTCTGCGATTACTCGGTGAAGCCTGCCGATTACAAAGACATCCTCGCGGGGAGCACTTGTCCCAAGCTGCCGGTGCCAGCCAGGTATTGAGTCCACCATGATGCAATCACCACGCCTGTTCATCGTGCTTCACAGCCGTGCCGAATGGCAATTAAAACTGAATCTCTTTTTATTTTACCAGGTAAGGCCCATTGAGCTTTTCAGACTTTTTTCACAAGCAACCTGGCCACAAATGATAGCTCAACGAAGTGGCTCATGTGGAAATTTATAGCAGCCAAATACTCTAAGCGCATGTTTCTAAATGTGGAGGGGAAAAACCGGAGGACCCGGAGAAAAATCCACACGACTGCGGGGAGAGAGAGACGCACAGCAAACTCCAAATATACGGCAGGCGTCGGGGTCGGGATTGAACCCGCGACCTCCTGTATACCAGGCGACGGAGTTAACATCTCATTATAGATTTACGAAGAAAAGAAGGTCAGGGCGTGTGTGGGTGCGGCTCTTCACTATGTCATATATTCCACTGAGCCCGTGATTAAAATTGCACGTTCCCATAACTGGGGCCAGTCTGCACGTAGGACACCCCCACTGTTGACCTCCTACGAGGTTGTCAACCTTCGTATTGACCTCAGTGATGATGGGGCTCAATTTAAACATGACGGTAGAATGCATGGGCATGTAGACATTTTTGTCTACACTTTTAAGTGGTAGTTCTATTTGTGCTGCTGTAGATATTTCAGATCACTTTGGTTGCGGTGGCTTCACTCCCATTCGGAGAGGTTGACAGGTCATATGCTGGTTTGGGGTTTGGGGTTCCTTCCGCGGTTGTTAGATGTCAGCAGCAGATGTGCTTTGGAAAGACTGGCTCTCTCCCCCCCCCCACAATACGTGTTTGAAATTTTCAACGCTGGCTCAGGGCTGCCAACAGTGATGAGCCCTGCTCTCTTGCTTCATTGATTTAAGATTATTGTACAGCTGGAGCATTTAGCTTATTTAAGTTGCTTAATCGATTACATGATCACAATTGATTGCTTTCATTGTGATCGATTATTACTCGAGCCCTTGAACAAAAAATGGCAGGCACCCCCGACATACTTGCCTTGCGAAGGCATGAAACCCACCTTGTACAAGCCACGCCAAGTGTGACGTGGCCCTGCCAATTACCGCCCATCCAGCGGCACACTTGGGAACAGGTAAGACTTGATTTTGTTTCTTTTTTGGTCTGATCGGATTCGTTGAGCACTCGAACCGAAGATTGGTACAATTAAGCCCATGCTATAATCAAATAACCCAGCTGTAACTTGATGACTAACATACATATAAATTGTACTTTTATTTTAGACAATTGTAATGTTTTGATTTAAAGCTTTCGTGACTGCAGGGATTCATATTCTTGGTTCTTTCGGTAAAGTCGTGACTTTACCGAACCAAGAATATAATTGTAATGTTCATGTTGACGTAATTTTCGGAAAGTACTTCCAATATTTGAATACACAACGTTTGTTCGCAGCGGAACATTACGTCTTAAAATTTTCTGCTTCTCAATAATGTTGACATTTGACACGTTGAAACACTATGTGTTGATTTGTTTCATTCAATATTTGGGAGGTGACTTTTGCAATTTTAAACAAGTTTTGATAACTGGTTAGCTGATATTTTAGAAGTAACATAATTCCACATTCGATATGTGATCCTTTCTTTGTTGTTTCAATTTAATGTGCCAAGATTTAACAGCAAGATACCACAACTGTAGACTTCATCGCTTGATCTACATGCATTGGCTGCCCATAAATCACTCTAATATCAGTGGTTCTTAGCCTGGGGTGCATGCACCCCCTGGGGATGCGAGAAAGTAAATAATCAAAATCACAAATTAAGCACAGGCACATAAGTACAACTACTTTGTTTCGTCAAACCTATGTATTTATTAACATTACACATTTAATGATTGAGAACCAAAAGGTGAACAACCACTGTGCTATAACCTTGCATGATCACAAGCTGCCAGCGAGATGATTAAATTGTTTTGCTAATTTCTATTCCATTAAAGTAATCGTGGAACGCAGTACTTAATAAATGCAATCTGATAAAAAAAAAATTAAGAACTCGGATTAACGATAGCCCACCTTTGGGTAATCTCATTACAATTGCGTGACGTTGCTAGCCCGCTTACTCCGCAGTTCTGCTTTGATTCCACGCGGTGCATTCATTAGGCGCGGTATTGCGAGCGGCGTTTGTTTGTTCGTTTGTTCGACTTAGCGCTGACACTGACGGCGGGGTAATCTCCCGCTCGCCGTGTCGCGCCCTTTTTGCCGGGCGGCCCTAATCCCGTCGTCGCTTTTTGGAAGCGCCGCGCCGTGCCGCTCGTTTTTTTTTCGCCCTCTCCGTTTGCAGTCGCTCAGAAAAATGCGATTAAAGGGCTCATGCCAATATTCTGCCACATTCCCAAATTTCCTTTAGGCTGTTTTTGCCTCGGCCTGCTTAGCAGCACGGGGAGATAAGCGGCCAGCGTAAAAGGTCACAACGGCATCCAATTTGCATTTAATGGTTCTGTAAAAAAAAACATGATTCATTGCGTGTCGTCGGTGATGGTTGGCAACGTTGCGACGGCTGCCGAGGGTTAAACTTTGGCCGGCGTTTATCGGGGAAATTTTGATTACCTTCATTTTTTGACAGGCGTGTGTTGTCATCTCACAATATGCGGGCTGCAGAATGCTTTGTAGAAACGCTGTCAGTGGCCTTAAATACCCCCGCGTCCATCGTAAATTGTGTTACGGTGGGGTTGTATGTTTCGTGCGTCACTTACATGTCGTGCATGCGCTCCTGCATTGCTAATTTTATTTTCAGTGCATTGGCATCAGTGCGTCATCAGGGCCATAATATCGTGCCAGTGCTATCGTTGCCTCGGCTGTCATATCTGGCGCTGGGTGTCGCGCGCCTGTAATTCAGCACTTTGTAGGCGAGCATTGGTGAATACGCCGTAGAACTGTCAAACCCTCAAACCCCCACTGGGCTGCAGGGTGGCTGGAGGCAGTCGATTTTTTAATCCGTCTTTTGCGGAAGTTTTGGGTGTTTATCCCTCACGTCGTGTATCGTTCTCTTGGTACCCCAGTTTGCGTCCACGTGCAAGACGCTCGTTAAATGGAATTTGCCGCATGTAATTCGAGACCGTTCTGAAAAAAGGTCTTTAAATTCAGAGAGGCTTTCCTGAATTAAGGGCATTATTATTATAAATCCCACACGGCATTCAGCGATGGCTGCTGCCAGCTCACAAATTATACCAGTCAATATGATTTGTTGCGTAGTCATTTGAACATCATTCATACCTCTGGGATGGGGGATCGTTGTGATGTATAAATTCTTGGCAGAGATGGTTTTACTTCTGCGACCGTGTTGACGCTTTTTCAATGCAACCAGCCTTCTTCTGGATTGAAGTCTCGCCACGTCACACCAATACACACTCCAATCTCTCCGCTGGCTCCCAGTCTCCAGTCCCACTAGATCGCCGACAAAATTGTCCTCGCCCTCTTCAAGATCGCCCATGGACTGTCCCCCCTCATTACTTCTCCCCGCTCATCTCTACATTTAGAAACATGCATTTAGATTATTGTTACCGCTATATAAGTTTCCACGTGATGGGCCGCTTTGTTGAGCTATCGTTTGTGGCCAGGTCGCTTCTAAAAAAAAATAATCTAAAAGCTCAGTGGGCTTTACCTGGTAAGATAAAAAATTGTTTAGTGTTATTTGTATATTTTTTATAGTTATTTGTTTACCTTTCCTATACTTTGCACTCACATCACGTTTATGTATGTTTGTTGTTGTAACGTTCTGTTATTGTCCCTCCCCCGCACCTCCAACTGGCGCAGTTGGCTACGCACGGTGCAAAATAACTGCAGCATGCACACGTACTTGCGTCGTTGTTGTCACCCGTCCCGTGCGTGGTTGCCCTCGGCAGCAAGCCGGTGCTGCACCGCTGCGTGCCCACGAACATCACGTGCTTCATCAAGTTCGCCGAGACGGTGGCCGGCGTCATCAACAGCAATGACATCTTCCACAAGGTGATCAGCGGCATCATGAACAGCAAGGACGTCATCATCGGCCTCTGCTTCCTCGCGCTCGGTACGAATCGGCGAGGAGACAACAAGAAAGGTGTCCCCCGTGTGGTCTCAACAGACTTTTGGGGCAAGTGCTTGTGAACCGAGCGCCTGTGAAGGCCGACACGGCAACAACGTTCATCGCACGCACAGTGCCCAACGCCCCATTCGAGAGCGAGGACTCTGGACAACTTCCAGGTTTTAACAATTTCACGAATAAAATAATGACGTAATGAAGTTCAATCTTTCCTGATGATTAAATAAATATTCCAACGAACTAAAAAATATTCCCTGATTTATTGCACTCTGGGATAAGTGTAACGTTATGTTAATGTTCTGAATTGCTCGTAGAGCAGTAGTAATTGTGGCACAATCTCGCAGCACTTGAACTTTATACAGGAAGCTACGCGAAACGCTCGTGAATGAAATGGGCCAAACGTCTCAATGCAGGACCCTCCTCCTGCATTGGACTCTGTGACGTTCTTTCTATCGACGCCACAGTTTGCCCACACACAATCCAGACGGAACACTGCATTAATTTCCCCCAAATTTATCTGTTGGAGCTCGAAAACGCGTGTCTTTTCAAGGGCAGCCACTTGCAAGAAGCCAATTAAAAAAGTTTTCACAACTGACTCCCGGGGAGAAATGACTTCTCACTAATAACTCGAAAAGAGCTGGCGTCTTAAGTGAATCCTGACTTAAAGCATTCGTGACTGCAGGAGATCATATTCTTTGGGTCTTTTGGTAAAGTCCTTCGTAGATAGGTTCAAAGAAAATAACAATTTATCTTCAACAATTTATTTCCTTTTAACCTATCTACGTGACTTTACCGAAAAACCCAAAGAATAAGTCTAAAGTGAGTTATCTTGCCAAAAGGAATTGTGCTTGCAATGCGTTTAAGTTTGTGTTGTTTACTATATATTATAGACTGTTAATATTATCAAGTGATATATTCAGCAAGATATTGACATGTCATTTACGGAGCGTATATCGCACTAGAGCATTCTTGAAGTTAAAAAAGGTTTGTACGTTGAACTTCTATCGTGGATAACTTGGACAGCTTAATGCATTGAAGAGCATAGATTGTATATGCTCTGCATGGTAATGATTAATTAATTAATTGTTCATCCATGACAGCCTCTGAGTGTCAAGACTCTTTTGCAGGAAGGTCCTACATTAAGATGTTCAGCCAATTCCTCTGTGAGGAGCGTATTGCCCGTGAGTTCAAATGTTCTTAATTAAGTCAATTGCCAAAAACGCCAGGCAAAGCTAATTATGACGCTGGTTAAGGTGTTTTTCAATCCTCTAGATGCACGGAAGTCGATATTGGCTGTTTAACGTGATGCCGATTTTAACCCTTTGTCCTTCCGAGACATCTGCAAGTTGCAGGGTGGGGTTCCCTGTTCATCGCGGAGTCCCCGAACGCGCAAGCGGTTCGGCATTAATTTTATTTCAAGAGCGGCCGTAACGCCGCTGTTTTTAATATTTTGTTACTCACCGCTGAAAACCGTAGCGGCACCACAGCCGCACTGTACTGTAGCTGGCACCAAACTGCGGCAAGCCCTCCCGCGTGGCCTTTTCCGTAACGGAATCGGAAGAAAAATCGACGACGTTACGCGTGTACGTCGTGCCGGAATGGTGGAGAGGGCGTCGTCATTTTTTACTCTGTTGTCTCTGCGTGGCAGTGCTGTCCATCATAATGATGCTGGTTATACGGTACATCTCCACGGTGCTCGTGTGGATCCTCACCATCCTGCTCATCCTGGGCTCGCTCGGTACGTACGGCACAGAGAGAGAGAAGTTTCGCACCACCTCCCTTTCCCCCCACCCCCCCCCTCGGTCCGTTATCTAATGCTGCCAATGTTGGTCCAGCTAGCTGGTGGTTTGGAGAGAATGCTCAAGTCAACTCGGAAGGGCATAACTTCCAATACCAGTCGACGTATATACTATACTATGCTTTTTTTATTTTACCAGGTAAGATCCACTGAGCTATGTATATCGCTCTTTTTCAGAAGCCACCTGGCCATCACAAATGATAGCTCACCAGAGTGGCTTATCGCGTGCAAATGTCATAGCAGTCAGTTGCTGTAAACGCGTGTTTTTAAACTAGGAGGGAAAAATCCCACGCGTTCACGGGAAGAGGGACACCGCAAACTCCAAATATACATGCGTCACGGTTAGGGTCGAACACACGGCCTCCTGTATACCGGGGGAGGTCGTTCACAACTCGCCAACGTGGCCACGCCCCATATGCTCAGCCTGTTGTCGCTGTGGGGTCAATAAAACGGCGACCGTTGTGTGTGAAGTCGACAGTGTTTCACCCTTGGGAGAGGGTGGCCCCCTCTCAGAGCAACGTGGAATTTCCATCCAGAGCTGAAGGCCCACGAGCGGACGTTGCCCTGCTCAATTGCCTGTTTGATCCAGAATTCGACTTGACTTTTGGAGTAATTGTTCAGTACATTTTCCTGAACAAGTGTTACTGAACAGGGGTTTGGTGCCCATGAAGGCCAAACTATTTTCTGCTTGCTGAGTGAGTTAATCAGGATGAGGTTTGTAATAGGATTCCAATGCCTTGTCTAATGCCCATTGCTAAGGTGTTCTGAATCCTCAATGCTGAGTTGATAAAACTAGGCTCAATGCTAGATATAGAGGCTCTTTCCCGAACGTATATTCTCATAAATATCCAAAGGTGTGTGAGAGTACACGATGTTTTTTGGCACTTATCAACTGAAAGCAGCTTACCGAGAGGAATTTAAAACGAGTACGAAAATCGTACGAGCGTCTGTTCACACCAAACAGGACCCTAGATTGTTGCACAGGCTCCAATGCAGCGTTCCCTCGGTTAACGATATTTATTGGTTCCACGAAAACCATCGTTAATTTTTATCTATCGCTAATCGAATACGGGAAATGCATGTTAAAGACTTAATTTTTTCCAAGACGATCGGACGTTGACCTTTTTCACCCTATAAACATAGTTTCTAATATTAAGACATGCAATTATAATAAATACACGTTATAAGAACATTAAAGCATTAATATTAATAAAAAACACATGGATAAATAATGAATAAATGGAACCTTAAAATCTGCATGCATAGAGCATAAAATACAAGTTCTTACTCTAGGCTAAGAAGATTTTTGGCTGAAATGGCGTCGCTGATTGGCCAAGGTCTGCAAGTCCACTTGGGGGAGCTGCGATTGGCCGAAATTGACGGGCCCGCGTGATACTGTAAACTTATCGTGAAGAGAGACAGTGGGACCGGGGACCCCCTTTGGGAGGAAGATCGTTTATCGAAATATCGTTGATCGATGGGCATCGTAAATCAACGGACCACTGTATTGTGTTGTTTTTATTATATCTATGTTCATGAGCATACTCTTTCAGGAGCACATGGATCCGATTTTATGTTTGTAGGCTTTAATGTGGCCACTGACGATGGGAAACATCCACGAGGGTGTTGGGGCAAGTGAACGTGTTGGCGGTACAACACCGCTGGTGTGCGGTATATAAAAAATAAAAAGCGCTTTTTGTGCAGTAATTTTTTTTTATTTTCCCCGCAATTCGCAGCTCCGGTCAGAAAATCTTGCGGGGGTGGTGGTGGTGCGTCACAAAATCAGTTCTTGTGATATCGAAACAGTCGGAAGACGAACGGTTTATGAGCAGCTCAACACACGAAGAAGTTTTTGCAGCCTGTCACCGTATAGCAGCCTCCAGCCATGATGACGATTGGATGGCTCCGTGCTCAAAAGGCAGATTAGACTCCTCTTGCCCTCGACTTGGTCGGGCGGTTCCTCGATTCGTTCCCGGAGTCATTTATTTTGGCGGATGGTGGCATCAAAAGATTACCACTCGCGGCGTCGCACATTCGAATGGGGAAAGCAGCTGCCGAATCTGAAGTGCAACTTCTGATGGAGAGTCTGCAGCTCAATCGAGGGCAACGGCAACATCGTCAGACTATTTTACGAGGACCGATGCGTTACGCTGCACCGGCGTACCCCAAATACGTCCAAATACTCGGGTAATTGGACACATCGAATATGAGCGCTGCCCCGGGGTATGAGCTGTTACCGCTGTACCCATAGCAGCAGCCGCCCCCATGCAGTGATTGTCGGAGCACTACCGTATCCATTGAACCCTGCCACATAAATAAAGCAATATATAAACCTCTTCGCTATTTTCCAGGACAGATCGGGAGAGCACTTTTGGGTAGGAGTCACAGCGCTAGAGGGCTGACTTGCACTCCTTTTTACCGACTTTATAAACTTTTTGCCAAAGTCAAAGAAAGCTCGTGAGTGAATACCGGCGCGCGTCACCGTTTGTTCGAGCTGGTATTTAAATCTCTCCACGGCCTTACCCCACCGCACTTTGCTTCCCTCGTCTCAACAACACCGTTCCCCCCTTCTCCTCCTTGTGCGCGATCCACCGTTTCTGCTCCTTTCCCCGTCTCTGTCCCCCTTGCACTTGAACAAACTTCCCCTGCACGTGAAGCGGCGAGCACCCTCCCTGTCCGCTTTCCGCTTCTCCCTCAAGACCCCAGCCACTTCATCCCTGGCCCCATCCTTCCCTCCACCACCTAGGCAGCCACCGTAATTCCCGTACACACTAAACCTCCCTCCCCCATACCCCGTCACCGTATATCACCTTCAGTTCCCCTCGTTGTACCGCTCGTAACCCCTTTTAAAGCGCCTTGGATAACAGCGCTATATAAATACAAGATGTGCACACGCACGCGTAACACCGCCGCCGTTCGTCTGAGGATTCAACGCGAGAAAAGTCTGTCTCGGGGAGCCTTGCTCTCCGGCGCGCGCAAAGAACGACGAATTTGTCCGCGTTTACTCGCCCGCCTTGATCTCGGCCGTGCGAGTTCGCGCTTCGCCGGCCCTGCCACGCGAAGTGGTTTGCCTTGTCCCCTACCAGTCCGTGCCGACAGACTCGGGAATTCATTACCTCTCCCCCCCCCCCCCCCCCCCCTTTGCCTTTCCATCCCATCGCAGTGCGCACTTTTTGTCGTCGTCGTTAAATCTGATGTCAGCCACTTGCCCCAGCCACTCTGGTGTTCCCCCCCCCACCCCCTGCAGATGTGGATTAGATTCACAGTAGGCTCTTCTGTGAGCAAACGTGTTGTTCAAACGAGTAAGTGCAGTCGCACGCACTCGCCAGCCTTCGCTCTCGAGTACTTATCGTGTTACGCAAGGTGTGCGATTATAAAAAAGACTTGATAATTACACTAACACGATTTTTGTTTCTGGGTAGTAAGTGTTATTTCGTAATTGCTTATGCCTAAAAAGTATCGAAAATGGCTATTGTTCCCCTCAAGCTTTGCTTTTGTGACCAGGACAGTGATATTTTCAAATGACCTTTTTTCCAGAACATTCCAGATAGATTCAGTGCTGAGTAAATTTGGAGTAACTTCTAGAACATTTCTAACGCCTGCAAGTTTCACCAGTATCTTCTTTTTCTTGTCGTTTACCGTCCGCGTTACCTTCAGCGGTGTTTTGATCGTGTCGGTGAGCGGTAGCGTCTCCCCTGCCCCCTCCCTCCTCTTATTTTAAGGCACAGTTTTATGTTAATATTCTTGGTTCTTTCTGTAAAGTCAACGTAGAAAGGAAATATTAAAAATAAAAACAATACAATTCTCACGACGTTTCGATTGCAACACAAGCAATCATCATCAGGTGTGAAAGCCACAGCAAGAAAATAAAAAAGTGGCGTTTTTTTCTTACCGTTAGCACCACGGACAGCAACTGGCGGTTGGTCATGCGGACGAGTCCATTTATGCTCGGAACATGACTTTACCGAAAGACCCAAAGAATATGAATCCCTGCAGTCACGAAAGCTTTAAATCGCAGTTTAATGTTCCCTTACTTTCGTAGCAGTTTGAAGATCACTCTTGAATCAAATGGCCATTCTCCTCCGTTCAGACTTTCTGTACAGATGTATGTATGATAACACCCTCGCCTGCTTTTTTCAATGTTGACTTAGTAGATCATTAATTTCCTCTTACGTCCAATTATTTTAACTCTTCATTTGCTGCTGGGTTTTTTTTTTTCAATTTGAAAAGCCACGAACCGTAATACGGGAGGAAGGGGGCAGCCGGGGTGGGGGGGGGGGTACAGAGTGCGTGGAACGGAGTCCAAACTCGGTGCCTCCTGGGTTCTGGGAAGGAGAGGAGCCTGGGACACGCTTGCCCCCACTCGCGATGTAGGGGACTTTACATAAAGCTTTTGTGACTGCAGGAATTGATATTCTTTGGGTCTTTCGGTAAAGCCACGTAGATAGAATTTTTTTTTTTTTTTTAAATATCACGACGTTTCGATTTCTATCTACGTGGCTTTACCGAAAGACCCAAATAATAGTAGGGGACTGCGAGCATTGAGAATGTCGGCGGGTCTTTACAATTGGTGGTGGTCCAAATTCGGTTTCGTCTAAGAGTTGACAGCTCTCCCCCCCCGTGTCTCGTGGTGCTCTGGACATTTCTTCGCAGTATTCCTTCTACCGATCCCTGACCTCAGTGGCATCCAGTCTGGGCCTCTATATATATGGACGACATCCGATCTGGAATTCTATTTTCCGATTAACTGGGTGTGCCGAAGAGCCAAGAGAAAGACTGTTCAAACGTGGACCGTATTCCGCACAGTGAAAAAGGCCAAATGTTGTGGTAATTGTCACGGGAGTGCATGAAAAATTAACTACTACTGTAGAAAGCGAAACCTTCAAAGGGGAGTAGATTTAAGTGCCTGTGGTGGGAAATTAACATCCAAGCAAGCTGCA